GTTAAATGATCCACTAGCCAATAGCAGCAAAGTGAGATTTGAATAAATACAGCACAAATGGAACTTTGCATCAAACTTTACCTTGTAACTTCCACATTTTACCAAGCAGAGGGGGCAAGCAAAATCTTCAGTGACTGGTAAGAAAAGACCAATATAAGAAACAAAAAAACAAGAAGAGCAAAGAATCACGAACCAACTAGAAGTTTTTTACCAACAAATGTCAATAAGTGACGTAAACTGACCATATGTAATTGCACGAATCTAACACCGGATCTTTGTCATGATCAGCATTCACAACAAAGGACTAAAAAAACACGGTTGAAGCTATACGGCACTCAATCATCAATATGTACATTAGTACACTCCATCCCATGCTGAACACGTTCGTAAAATTTATTCTTCCAATTTCAATGTTACACTATCCTTCTGAAGTGCTACAGATCATATGAGGTGTGTGCTTTCTGTCTTATGCACCAGCATTTTCAGTAATTGCATCTTTTTTAACGGATCATATCTGAATTTTGTGTTTATGGTAATGACGCAGAACTTGATTTTCAGAACAAAAAATGCACAATTCATAATTAATCAAATGGATATTACTGGTGTTGTAAAGAGAGAAATTTATAAGCCATTTCTTATGTTAAAAACATATCGGTACATTAAAACCATTATACTTACCATTACTGAAATTAGCTCGCCAACTTTAGTTCTAGGATCATATGCTAACCTAAAGCGTAACAGCGTAAAGTTCTCCACTAGGTTACTAGCTATGGCACCACAATTAGTGTGACAAAGTAACAAGATTATCACCATCAAACAGAAGTAGCTATTATTCCAACATGTGTACCATGAAAGGGTCTTAGCAGAATATCTTTTAATAGTTCAATGCTGGTGAATCATTTATTCTGATATCTAACATATCTAGTTCAATAATTTTCACAGTCAGGTATAAGGAGAAAATGTGAACACCTAGAAAAAATGTCAAACACATGATCCAAACAAGTGTGAGTGGAAGTGTGGAACTAAAAAACACATGAACGCAAATGTTTGTGTAAGGTATAACCTTCAGTCTTTTGCATAGTATTGTTGTAGTACTTGAAGTTGCAAAGCACATTACCAGCTCCCAACCTGTGTGGAAAACAAAAAAAATCTGCTCAATTGGTCACATTGAAAAGCAAATGCATTTGTAGAGATGAAAGTAAAAGCAAATAGTCACACTAAGACCTGGCCAGACAACAGGTGCTTCGGTTAGGCTAACGTCACACAAGAGCACAACAAACCTGAGCCGGTAGCCAAAACCTCACCACTAGGCACTAACATAAATTTGATATACTGACTCCATTCCTTTACCTGCCCTTTCAGACATCTAAATCAATATAGAAGGTACCAATACATGATTGTGGAATCCACACAATTTGAACCATCCATCCAACTTTCACCGAATGATTCAGAATTTTAGTTGGACTTTCTTAGATTCGGCTTTAATTGCACAATAATCCTCTTAATAAACCTCCATCTTATTTATTTTCCTCCTACCTTAATTGTAAGTTAAATCCTAACCCCTCCTCTGATTTCTCTTGTGTGCACCCACTCACTCTGCGCCTCTTCTCTCAACAACGATTTATGGGCAATGTGACATATTTCACCCCTCTTCTCCCCACGCACACATGCTCACTTCCCTCCCGATATCTGCCACCTTTGCGGCTCACCTACCAATCGCCCCCCACCGTGCTATCTATTGTGTGGCGCTGAGAACTTCTTTGTGTTTGCAATATGTTCATTTCATTTTGCATTATGTCCCTATGAACAATGCCATCACTTTCTTCAACTATATATCAGGAAAGCCACTGAAAGTAATATAATGATCTGAAGGTATTTTCTATGGAAAATCTAGAACTATTATTTGAACATGACAAATCAGTATATATTTGTGTATATTAGCACCAAATTTAAAAGATAGACTCCATGCATTCTAAAACAACACCTAACAATGAACAGATTCATCTTAGCCTGCTCAACTGTCACAGATGTCCAGTTTTCACCCTCAACTATGAAACAAAACATTTAACAGCCTGTCCATGTTAGTGTTGCCACATTTGGTACATGCCATCCACACACACATGAAATGTTCTCAGCAAGCAGCATGCTCAGCTGCGCTGACTGCAAAACAGTGGCCATCTACTAAACCCTATCAAAAACTCAAAATAGATATCTTCGAACTAAGCTTTCCAAGCAAGCGAATGCAGTTACTCACGACTCTACTACAATAAATAGGGCTATAGATATGCATATACATGTAGTAGTGTTACCTTATGATATGTGGTAATGATGAAGGTGGGACACCACTATATGAGTAACTACTATATGGAGATTCAGACATGTCTTTTGCACCAGCTTCTTGAGCAGATATGCCTACTTGGAGTTGATATGAACCCTGCAACAATAATACAAATCTCAGAGAAGCTAAGGAAGTAAATAATAGAACATACTGCAGTAAGGTGCTGCCATCCTATATAGAAAATACTTACCACTTAAATGCAGAAACAATTATTAGATAAAAAATAAAGTAATAGGGATAAACTTACCGTAGCATCAACCTTATGAGAGCAAAATGTCAAGCAACTGTGCTGCTCCATAAATTTCGGCTTCATATATAACAAAAGGAAAGGCAAGTAGATCAACATATAGAGTCAAGTACGGGCATCTTTGGTTCAAGGCTAACTTTGCTTATGCAATGTGTGGCTTACTGCAAAAGAGTGGCTAACAAAATTAAAGCCACAAGTGTGGCAAAAGATTGTGTCTATGACACATGGGCCGTATAGGTAGTTAAGTGTGTGGTAAAAAACGAGTATGTACCTCAAAATATTGTGGCTTGCCTACGGTTAAGCATGGCAAGTTGTGCAAAATATTGTGTCTATGACACATGGGCCATATAGGTAGTTAAGTGTGTGGCAAAAAAAGAGTATGTACCTCAAAAAACTGTGGCTCCTATGGTTAAGTATGGTAAGCTGTGCAAAAGATTGTGTCTATGACACATAGGCCATATAGGTAGTTATGTGTGGCAAAAAACAAGTATGTACCTCAAAATATTGTGGCTTGCCTATGGTTAAGCATGGCAAGTTGTGACTGGGAACCAAACAACCCGTAAGATTGGAAAGTAGTTTCCACTACACTTCATATTCTCTCTCTTGATTTAACAATTTTCTATTAAAAACAAAAAAGATAGCGAATGAACTAAATGAAACACATTTGCAGAATCACTGGAATTTCCATAAACTACAATTTAAACCTTTACTATTAATGTTCATCTTATAATATGTTCAGTTATCTTGATGCAAATTGCACTACTAATTTGACAATTTTCCATCTGAACTTTTGGATGGGATCTGCTAATTAATTGCAAGCACTACAGCCTTCTAGATAGCAGAAGGTACATGGGGTAGATCATCAATATTTAACGTACAGGTGGCTAAGGTAATTTATTTAGTTGAAACATGCTTCAGGTGCTGCAAAAGGATTTTGCTTCGTCCATCCTATGGTTAAATACTATAGAAAATTTGCAGTGCATACAATAGGAACATTAAAGCTTAAAACCATGAGCAAGTTGAACTGGCATACCTCTAAGAAACTTGGGCTCATACTAACTGCAGAAGCCAACTCCACTGTATGTCCCAAATTTAAAGTTGCACAGTTCTCCAAAGACGAACCAAGTAGATCCATTGGTATTTTACCCCAGAAACATTTCCCTTAAAGCTCTGACAAAATGCATCACATACATTATAGTAAATAACTGCACTCAACAACACTACAAATCATAAGTGGTTTCTGAGATTCAATGTGTTCTTTACACTTCATTTCAGAAGGCACATGTGCTAGCTATACTAGCCAGTATGGGTGACTGACAATAACTAAACCATAAAAGGAGATAAAATAATCTAAACTAATGGCATACATGGCCTAGTAGCCCCTTGTCAAAAACAGATAATGCAATGTTTAAGGATACTTTTCATTTGATTCTCCTATCCACACTAAAGGCGGTAAACACATCCAGATGTTGCTCACCTACACTTTGTTAAGTAGTTATCCCTGGATTAAAGGAATGTTTGTTAAGTATTTTTGGTTTCCAACGACTGTAATACTAATCTTCCATGCAAGAGAATGTCTGGTAAGTTGCTGTTAGCTGTGAGATAGGTGGTTGCAAGGGTTGGATTGGTTTGGCCAAGAATATTGGGCATGAACTAGCTTAGCATACTGGGAGATGAACATAGTTTGATCACTGGTCTTCATTCTTGTCAAGAATTGGGCATTTGAGAATACAATTTTATCTTCCACCACATGATAAGCAACATTAACTGGCTAGTGGTAGCTCAACCTGTGTGGCACATATTTTGTGTGGCACCCATTTTGTGTGGCTATCTAAATGTCTTACTTGCTACCACCTCTGTAAACTAATATAAGAGTGTTTAGATCACTACTTTAGTGATTTATAAACGCTCTTATATTAGTTTACGGAGGGAGTAAGTTTTAACATATTGTGTTAAACAGCGGTAAGCATGCACTTATTCTAGTAACTGTTTAGTATTTTTTTCACAAAATAACAACCACAAACTTACTTTGGAGAGCAGAGCCTTCCACATGGTCCACAAGATTTTCACCAAGATTTTCCCCAACTTTCCCTTTCGAAATTAAAAAGGGAACCAAATGTGATGGTGGTGAAGAAATGTAAAACCATAAGCATCACATATGAAGCACATCATACCACAACTCATAAGGATAATGTTAAGGTTGCAAGGTCGGGAGGTTGATAAATTCTTGATGTCTGGGGTTATGAATGTAGCATTGGTGCGACCTTTATTACCAAATTCACTAAAAGTTGTAAGCAAACAAGCCCGACTGAATCGATATATCGGAGAATGCTGCAAAACATTATGTATTAGTGAGATAAGAGATCATTTGGTACAAAATGTTGCATGTGTGGAACTAAAAAAAGGCAGACTTACCCCTTCAAGCGAAATATTACTGGTAGGTGTAGCCAACAGAACATAAAGAGGAAAGATATTCTGTTCTGGCAACTCAGTATTTGTACTTCGAGATAGTGATATAGTTATCTGAATCCTACATCCATAGCACAAACACTTATCAGTATTTACATGATGACTAGACAATTAAATCCAAAAGTGGCTAGTACATAGTTTAACAGACATTGCACCTGAGAACTTAATCACTTGGGCCTTGTTTGGCTAAGCTACCGTTTCAGCTTCTACTAGGGTGCATAGATAAAAAAGGCGCGCTTAAGCGCGCCTAGGCTCTAAGCGTTGGCAAAACGCATTGCGCATAACTATGCTTAATCTGTGCATAACTGCATATAAGCATGCACTTTGGTCAATAAAGCGCAAGGCGGTGGCAAAACGCACAATTAACGCCTAGCGCTTTTTTGAACTATGCGAGGGTGTGTTTGGTTTTGGGGCATGGGGTGGAATGTCACGGGTTGGTTCTGCACCTGACACTGGTTCTTGTGTCTGGTTTGAGAAGAAACTGGAATGGAGTGATTCCCCGCAAGTGGATATACCCCTCCGATGCCAAACCAACAGATTTCTCCAAATTGGTGGAATCACATGGTTCCTCGTCTATTAGCGATAAAAATACAAATAAAATGAGCTTATCTCACTGCCATGTCTCTCGCACCCTCGTACCTCACCCCCTTGATCTGTGGAGGAGCACCACCCAAGGCCACAGCAGTATGCCGTGGTCATTCTCCGGTGGGAGGAGGCACAAGCCGCTGAGAATCTCGAACGGAGCCTAAGGCCACCATCGCTCTTAGATTCCTACACAGGGAGCTGAGGCGGGCCTAGGAGTGGTGCTTGCCATCACAGGCGACTATCAAAACTCTCTTGACGGCTTACCAGAGCGGGACGGTGGTGGTTTCGAGCTGTTGGGCTGACGAATTTGTCGAGGGCCATGAGAAAAGCTAGCGGATTGTTAAAGCCCGGGCACACCGTAAACTAAAGTACTTCACTTTGCTCTACGAAGAACCATACTTTTTTTTGCGAATACCAAGAGCCATATTTGAATAAACATCATGTGTATAGTACACACACTAAAGTTCCATAGATCACAAATGTACCAAATGTGTAATACAATATATAGTACCACCTCTGTTTCAAATACCAGGCTTATTAAGTTTCAGTAGATTAAACATTTGCCCAGGAATTAAACTATTACTATGTAACAATTGTGATACAAAAACATAACCACAAATTTTTGCTTTAGAAGATGAGTCTAATGATATCAATTTCAGTCCACAAAATTGTACTTTAGAAGATGGGTCTAATGTAATGCTCTAGGACCACACTGTGCGTGAGTGTGTGACCCTCCGACATGACCTGTCTGGAAAAATATCCTAACCCTAACACAGAGCGCCTCACTCATGTGCATCGCATGTAGGAAAACCCCCCGCAAGATCCCAGTCATGCCATGTCACGGCCAGCATGCCGTTCTTTTGCCTGCCATACCCCGGTTCGATTGGACTAAAATTGATCCGCTTTGCCAAATTAAGGGAGGAAGATGCATGATTTGCAAGGTGGCATGCCTAAGTGTTTCCACTTGCCAAGTTTATCGACATCTGATGCATTTCTTTTCTACTTTTTATGATCATGTATGTGCTAACTGTTGCATAGCCAACCTAGGCAATGGCATTCGGAAGGGAAATTATCAATCCAATTAGTTTCCCAATGACTAAATAAGCATTAATAATAATAATAAATCATACTACGTTCTTCAAATTATTGGGTGGAGTAGGATCTACTACTGTGTTCAAAGCATTTCCAATTTGATTCAACTCTAATCGTAACAACCTTATGTACGCGGTTCCAAGAGAGCTAAAGGAATCAACAAAGTACATAATAGTGAAGTCTCTGCAATTCGCAAATAAAAAATAGTGGTGTCCGCTATGTAAAAAATAAAATACGTTTTGAAACAGGACAGTCCTTTCTTTTTCTCGACATATCGGATTTGGATCACAACAATTCTGAGTGTCAGCATGTTCTGCAGTAGAGTCAAAGTGTGTACCTCTTTTTTCGGCTTGCATGTATCTTGTAATGAAGGCATCTTTGCAGAAAAGCGGGCTGTAAAAGTCAGTGAGAGATCATTGGTATCTCAAATCACTTGCACATGATGGTTATGTGATAAACACATGTGATTCATGTCAAATGAAGCTGCAAAATTAAGATGGAACTTACATTTCTAATGGCTCGCCGCTGAATGATATTGTATAGCTCAACTGGCTTGCAGTACAACGCGAAACTTTCTTCGGCAGCAAGCTGCTCATCTGGAGATAATCGAGCTCTCAGCTGTTGCTGGCGCATCTGGTCTGCAGACTGAGGGTAACTGAATTCACACCCAGCGTCCCTGCATGTATGCAGCACCAACATCAAAAGAAGAAGATACATTCATCTCATCTCACTATTAAGATCAAGAAAACCATCTACCATATATACATGAGCGCATATCTGCAAAGCAGCTGAACAGTTACAGAACAACTATATAAGCTACTTTACAGAATCTGGATACAACCAAGGTGGGCCACACAGATTTCCAGTGATTAATTCTTAGAAATAAAAATGGCCAATTACTAGTTTCCAGGTGCAACCAGCCAGGGATGAGTCAATAGACAATACTCATTTATTAATTTCCAAATGCAACCAAGGTAAGCTCTGAATATATCACACATTAATTCTTGGAAGTAGCCACTTACAGTGAAAAGAACTTCACTATCCCACAAAGCATCCGACACACACAGAGACCACAGTGCAGTATCCAACTGCGATTCTAACATTGTACCTAAATTTTTTTTCTCCTGGGTTGCCCACACAGACATGACCAGAAGCTGCGGGCGGACTTCGAGAACATCGCCTTCAAGGAGGGCGAGCTCGTGGACGACTTCGCATGCGGATCTCCAGCCTTGCGTCACAGCTCTGCGCGCTCGGCGACACCATGGACAATGCGAGAGTCGTGTGGAAATTTCTCGGCCTCGTGCCACCTCGCTTCGCTCAGGTGGCGGTCTCCATCGAGACTTTGCTTGACCTGAGCGAGCTCTCCATCAAGGAGCTCACGAGCTGGTTGCGGGTGGTCGAGGACCGCCTTGATGACGGTCACGAGAGCTTCGGCGGCGGACAACTCCTATTCTCGAAGAAGTGGGAGGCGAGGAAGCGTCAAGGACGTGGTGGAGGTAGGCCTTTTTCACTCTTCTGACCTTATGAGGAAACTTTAGCACAAAATGAACTCCACACAAAACACTTTCAAAATCTGACCCTTTTCAGAAATGCCAAAGGCCGTGGCGTTGCTGCACTATATGAAAACGCCGAACTAGCTAGCGTTGCTGGCCTGATCGAGATGCTACGTGACAGGGCTAAAACGCCAAAGTTTGTTGTGTTGTTGGAAACGCCAAGGGGGTGGGCGTTGCTGCCCAAGCATGCAACGCCAAGGATGGTTGGCGTTTCACCTAGCTTTTCATATTTTTCATTTATTTATGAAGTGAAGCAACGCTAACTAGTTTGACGTTTCCAAATAGAGAAGAAACGCCACGGCTTGTGGCGTTACCAAAAGGGTCAAATTGTGAAATAATTTTGTGTGAAGTTCATTTTGTACTAAATATTTCTGAAAGGGTCAAAATAGTGAAACAAGCCGTGGAGGTACCCCGAGCAGCGGAGGCGGCACCGGTAGAGATGGCGGTCGCACCCAGGGTGGAGCCTGACAAGGTGTCGGCAACGACGACCGAGACAAGTGTCGATATTGCAGCATCAAGGGCCACTGGGCACGTGAATGCCGCAAGAGGATAGCTGACGAGGATGCTGCAGTCTCGTCAAATCTCGTGGAGCCTGAAGAGGACGGTGGGCCAGCAATGATGATGGCTTGCGTCGAGACCATGCAGGAGGGCCCAGCGCCTCCGGAGACCATAGTCTCGACAAGCATTGAAGCCGTGCACACGGAGCTCTTCAAGTAATCCCCTCCGGACATCGGTAGCGCTCTCCCCGACAACAATGTTCTCGGGAGACTACGATTGGGCGGAGACGAAGACCCGGGTGTGGGGGAGCCGCACCCCGGCAACCACGCCCCCTGCGACGTTGGTCAAGCCCATGCAGTTGGCACGGCAAAGGCATACCCGACATCCTCGGGACCCGACAAGCCCGTGTCAGGAGGCACCGCAACGACGCATCTGGTGGGCCACGCCCCAACCATGATGTTGGCGACCAGTGAGCCCGTGTGAGAGGCACGACACTCTCAGGTCGGCCACACCCCGACAACCAGGTTCTCGAGGTTCTACAAGCCCGTGTGGGCGACACGGCACTCTTCGACAAGTCTCAACTGGGAGACAATGAAGAGACGGTCATGGGGCGACAAGGCCTCGACCGTGACTATGGCGAAAAATGAGGTCGTGCAGGAGGCGCGACGCTCTCTAGTAGGCCATGCCGCGACCCCGACGCGCTCGGGGTCCATCGAGTCCGTGTGGGAGGCACGACACTCAGGGTCCATTGAGTCTGTGCGGGAGGCACGACTCACGACCGTCGGGGGAGACCCGACAAGCAAGTCTGATGGAAAGAGCGTAGCACCTTGAGAGGAGCTACTCCAGTTAGTGTGACGTCCAACACATCAACCCCGGGAAGGGAGTTCCCGGGCAGTGCGACATCCGGCACAACGACCCCAGGAAGGGAGTTCCCGGGTAGTGTGATGTCGAACAAGTCATCCCCGGGAAGGGAGTTCCCGGGTAACATGATGTACGACACGACGCCCCTGGGAAGGGAGTTCCCGGGCAGTGTGACGTCAAGAACTACGACCCCAACAACAGATACAACCATGGTGGGCCACACAGATTTCGAGTGATAAATTCTTAGAAATAAAAATGGCCAATTACTAGTTTCCAGGTGCAACCAGCCGACATAGGTTATCAACCAGGGATGAGTCAATAGCTAATACTCATTTATTAATTTCCAAATGCAATCAAGGTAAGCTCTGAACATTGTACCTTTTTTTTTCTCCTGGGTTGCCCACACAGACATGACTAGGCAAATTCGACACAACTCAAGTAACAAGTTGCACGAGTATAGCATAAGCACAGCAACAACAAAATAGGTTAGGGGGGAGAGGCGTACGCTGCGTCCCAGTCAGGTAAAGGTAGGCCAGGCATCCTCCTCGCTGCCGCCGAGCGCCTCAGGGTCGCGGACGGGCAGATTTAACAAGGGGCATCAACCGGCGGGGACTGGTCTAGATGGTGCGCCGGCACACCAGAAATTTGTAGAGGTTAAAATTAGTTAGGGCTTGATTTGAGTGATAATAATCACTAGATGACAGAAATCGCGGTCATACCTCAAAGACTGATGTCGAAGCTCGCAGACGGGGTGGAGAGAGCAGGGACGGCGATGGCGGCGGCGTCGAGGCGCGTCAGTGGCGGCGGCGTTCCGGTCGTGAGGCATCGGCGACGGCCTGGCGGCGGAGAGAGATTTAGAGCCGCATTGGACCGGAAGGGAGCACCAGACGAAGAAGAAATTAGGTTTTCCTTTTCCTCTTTAATTTGTCAACTACCTCTGAGCCTCCGCGTCGATTTGAGACTTTGAGCCGTCCGATCATAATGGTGAACGTATCGGAAGCATTTGCTTTTTCGAACCTCCACGTCGATTCGAGACTTTGAGCCGTCCGATCATAATTGTGGATGCATCAGAAGGATCTGCTTTTTCGAGCCTCCACGTCGATGTGAGAATTTGAGCCGTCCGATCGTAATCGTGAACGTACCAGAAGCATCTGTTTTTTCGCAAGGCGTTTCTTTCCTTATTCGCGTCATTTCACATTAGACGTTAGCTGACTGGCCCAACTTATCATCGTTATTACTCTACAAACTGATCCAGATGCCCTATAGTGAACCAGTCCAACACGCCGTGGGCCTCACACCACATAACCGCAGAGTGACACAGCCCTGTGACTGCTTCTAAGATTCTCCCGGCCCGACGAGCGCCCACGGCGATGTTTCCGCACCGAACCGCACCATCTGCTAGCAGCGTTGTATCCATTGTAATGGGGCTCCTAGTTCATACGTTTACTTCCTTCTTCTGCCGCCATTAATGCAAGATGGTAGTGGATGTGCCGTGTGCGTTAACGATACCTTTTGATTTGCTTCATCTATCTATATAGCCTTTTGGTCATCCTATAATAGTTTTGTGTTTGTTTTTTCCTCCTATCAATCCGCAGTGCCTTGTCTTTCATCCACCGCCACCTGAAGAGGAGATGTGACAACATCTATAGGTGGCAAGATCCACACACGTGGGCGACGTTCTCACAAAGGCGTCACTGCACCTCGCGTTCCACATTCCATCACTGGCAGCTAAGCATTGAGGGTCGAGGCCAACACGACACACATCGATGAGGGGATGGTGTTCATCCTCTGGATCCACCGGAGCCCACCCACCTTGTTCATTGTCTTGCCTGACCCGATGCTTGCCCGCGAATATGCAGAACTTGTGTATGTTGATAGTATGAGAAAACATAGGCAGGCAAATGCACACATCCACGTACACAGAAGACGACATGATGTGATCACATGAGCAGAACAAAAGGGGATGCTCGGCCCCAAAAAAGGATAGCTACCTGCTCGGTGGTAGGATGATATCTGAACCCTTGGCTTCCCAAAGATGCACATCCTCTTGAATGGTTAGGATCAGGTGCCTCACAAAGGGCGCTTGTCATGGAAGTTGTACTTGTTCCTGTGCTTGCAAAGCTAGCAGGCCGTGAGCACCACGATGGAGGCGCTTACCTTGCAAAGGACATCCGACGTCTGGTGAAGGGAGCCCGCCCACCACAGCCTGAAGGGGGAAGTCTTGGCTAGGCACAACAATAGTGGATCTGCACCATGAGAAGACTTCGTGTCATAGCTACCTGGAGAAAGAGCATCCAACCAACAGAGGTTGCATGCTCTCTAGCTCATGGTCCCAAAGGGCATAGTAGTCCGCACGCGGCACACCTCGTCGAGCCAGGCGGTCGGCCGTCCAACACCTATTCTGGAAGGAGAGCCAGAGGAAAATCTTGATGTGCAAGCAGTGTGCAACAACACCCATGTTTTCCAGGTGAGACGTTGGTGGGGATCGCGACAGAGCTCAAGAAAAGTGCCGCATCACAAGACTTGGTGGCGTATTGACCAGAATCCATCCACCAGCGGCAGAGCTCTGTGTGTGTGAGAAAGAGAGAGTGAGGAAGGCCGAAGATGGTGTCATAGGTCGGACCATGGCCGCAGTACCAAGGTCACCGTGAATGCCTTCGAATCACTAACAACAATGCAAGCCCACGTGGAACAAGCAGAGCTTCCTCCGTTTCTTTTTAGTCTGCATATAAGATTTGGTCAAAATCAAACTTTTAAAGTTTGA